CGGCCTCGGCACGTACGGGACGGCGCGCGAGGCCGCCCGCGCGTACGACGCGGCGGCGTGGCGCCTAGGCCGGCCGCGCGGCCAGATGAACTTTCAAGATGTGTACACGCTCCAGCAAGCGCTCAACCTCGCCCCTCTGCCTCGTCTAAACACGGCGAAAGACCGTGCGGAGCACGCCGAGCGGCAACGCCACCTCCTCGACGCCCAGGAGGACGAGCGGGTCATGGCGGAGTGGCGCCAGCGCCACCTGGAGGACGTCGCCTACGAGTAGGCCTACTGGGCAAGGCGTCGCGAGGAGGACACGCGAAGGCGCCGCGAGACGCGGTTGGAAAGGCGTCAGCAAAAGGCGTTGGCGAATGTGCAGTCCGACATCGTTGCAGCAGGTGGGCAGTCGTTCTTCGCGCCGAACGATGATCGGTGGCTGGACATCTGGCTAGACACCTCAGACGACACCGTCGAGGATGATAATGGTGATGATGATAGCGACTTAGAGTAGTTTCTATCTAGTTGCGCCGTAGTTTATCTATGCTTTCGAACTATCTATCTAGTTGCACCGATGTAAAATACCTTTGTATCGTTTTTTATTTATGCAATCTATCTAGTTTTTATTTTATCTATGCGTTTGAAAATTAAAAAAAATGTTGTGTGCGCGTTGCATTTTTTGCGCGCTGCATTTTAGCGCGGCTGCTGGAGCGGGCGCAGCGCACCGCGCCAAATCAAGCGATGGGCGCGCGCTAAAGCTGTTTTTCGCGTGCACCGCGTTGGACGCCTGTTGGAGATGCTCTAACTGAAAGCCTCTTGTTTCTGATGACCTCAAAGGTAAGAAGGCCGAGCAACCTGCTGCTAGGGCTGCTCCTACAGAGGACGGTCCCTCCACCCATGCACCTTCCATAATGATTTCCCCTATGGACAATAAGTAGAAGAGTAGAATATGTTTATCCGCGGTTTCAATTATCTTTTCAAGATGTGCAAGTCTTCTCATGAGCACCATGTCAGAGATGTTCATAGGGAAAGACGTGTGGATGAAGTTGAAGCCTCAGAAGACTGAGGAGATAGGTGTGCCAGCTCCACCAGGGCCTGAGGATATGAACAACATTGCCACTGACTTAAAAACCCTAAACCCCACACCCGACTTAATGGTCAAAACAAACGTTGTTGATTCTTAGTGCCACGTGGTACTGATGCCAGAAATCGGATTAAAATGGTCCAAATCTGTTATTGGTGTTTCTTGATTCTTTTTACCACTAGAGTTGTACTCCCTCCGTTCTGAATTATTTGTCGCAGATATGAGTGTATCTAGATATATTTTAGTTCTAAATACATCAATTTCTGCGACGAGTAATTTGGAACGGAGGGAGTAGATTTTTTGGGCGGCCGGGGAATGCGGTGGCTAATCCAAATATCTGAAGGGAATGTGGTGTTTTTTTTTTGTAATTCACTTACCTTAAGCAAAGAATAAGACCAATTTTGCCTGCCCATGTGCCGAGTTTTCAATTTTCCCATATTTCCCGTATTTATTTATTTCTAACTTTCGCTTCTTAACCTTTCTTTTGTCTTTCATTTTTTTAAAACAGATATCATTCTATTATTAAATGTAATACTTCCTCCATTTCTAAATATAAGTCTTTTTAGAGATTCAATGCGGACTACATACGGATGTATATAGACGTACTTTAGATTGTAGATTCACTCATTTTGCTTCGTATGTAGTTCATAGTGGAATCTCTAGAAAGACATATATTTAGGAACGGTGGAGTAGATTGGTAGAAAGTAAATACAATGTTCGTAATGTATAAAAAATAACTCATAGAAATATATTCCGCTTTTAGCAAAGAATAAGAGCCACTTTGCCGGCCCATGACCCGAATTTATAAAATTGATCACATTTTTCCGTATTTATTTATTTCTAACATTTGTGTTCTTTTTTTTACTTTTATTTTGTTTTGTAGTTATTTTTATTTCTATTTATAATCTGGTATTTTCTTTGTGAAAGATAATAGAAATGCTGCTTGTTCTGCAGTAATAGTTCTGCAACCTCTAATCTACCAACAGTTACACCAACTAGGGGACGGAAATTCGTTCTTTGGGTGACACTAGAAGAGCAATTGATGATTGTTCTCCACTAGTACTACTGATGAAGAACAAACACAGAGCAAGAACCGTTTTTTACAGACGGAAATGAAACCAAACCAAATCAAGTGGTGGCAACGGCTGGCGGGCGGGCGGGCGGGCTAGCAGCCGGAGATCTTGGCCCTGAGGACGGTGCACTTGGTCTTCTGGAAGGCGGTGGCGGCGACGTCCGGGTCGACGAGCTGCAGCCGGAGCGGGCAGACGATCCCCAGGGGGCACTTGGTCTTGCGGCCCTTGTACTGCATCACCGTGTCCAGCCGCACCTCCACCTCGAACACGCCGGCGTCCTTCTGCCTGGCGAACTCCGCCGCGCCGGCCGCCGTCAGCTTCGGCAGGGCGCGGCCGACGGCGCCGACCCTGAGGCGCACCGCGGCCTCCTTCCGGGCGCCGAGGTCGAGGGTCGGCACGGTGCCGGACTCGTCGAAGCGGGTGCCGTTGAAGGAGAAGGCCGCGGCGACGGCCCCGAAGGTGACGCCGTAGTGCAGGTTGGGATTGCGCAGGGAGACGGTGACCGTGGCGTTGTAGGACAGGAGCTGCAGCGGCGGCCTCGCCGTGGACGTGGAGTTGGGGGCCGGGGCGAGGTCAAAACGCGTGAGGAGGGCGTCGTCGGCGCTGGCCGTGGGCGGGTTGAGGACGGCGAAGGCGAGGACGAGGAGGGCGAGGGCGCCCCCGAGCACGGCCAGGACGACCAGGCAGACGATGGCCGTGGTCCAGCTGCACTCGCAGTCGCAGCAGTCCCGCTGGCGCTGCTTCTCCCACCACTTGCTCCACCAGTCGCGCTCCCAGAAGACCATGGCTGGCTCTGGCGCTGGCTTAGCTCAGCTGGTCGTGGATCTCTCCGGGCGGAGGCTGGGAGGGAGAGGAGCGTGGAGCGGGAGCGCGCACGGCAAGGGTAGAAGAAGAGGGCTGGAACTGGAAGCGGCCGGAGACTTGTGGCGAGGGGGTGGGTCTTCGGACGCGGCCAGATGTGTCCAGAGGAGACCAGGAAGAAGACCTGCCGCTGGCCGGGCCAGTGGGTCGTAGACAAAGGACAAGGTGACCGTTGGCTGTTATCCGTCTCCTCTCCCTCTCAGCCGTGGCAGCGGCATCCATGGCGATGGTGGTTGCCTCACCCAACCCAACCAGAGAGCACACTCTGTACTCTCTACGCGTTTTGTGTTTTTTTTCCTTTCCTTTCTTTCAAAAGAAGAGAGCGCGTTGGGAGAGCGTGGTCGAGCTGGGGGCATCAACTGGTGCTGATAATGGCTCCATACTTGGGTTCCTTGATTCCAACGCTTTCTAGTATTATTTTATCTTTTGATTGAACCAAGATCAATGTTAAGCACGGTTTGAACAAATATGGAATTCAAAATTTGAAACTACAATGAAGCTGTTTTACCATGTTTGACTTGTATGATGTCAATTAGGCACATGTTGAGGCCAACTCCACCGCGCGACCCCAAACGGGCGTCCGTTTTGTCCGGATTCTGTCCGTTTGGACAGGGCGATGGGGTCGTGTCCGGGCCTGTCCTGGGATGCGGTGGCCATGCGTCCAGCGCGCGGACGCACTGGCGGAGCTACGTGTTGATAAAATCGGCCGTGGCCCGCCCAGCTCATAGCAATTACAGTGGAGATTTGAGAGTAAACTCAGCAATGAGCTTGAAAATTATGGGTCTTCCTTTGTACCGGCCCGCCCTTGTTTTCTGCCGTAGCTCCGCCACTGCGCGGACGCATCCCCACCGCATCCTGTCCGTGTACATTTTTCTTTGTAAGTCTTTAATCATTCATTTTCGGTACATTAAGAATACATCATCATATTTTGACTAGTAAAGTAAGACCAAAGAAAATAAGAACAACAAGAATACATTTTAGAAGGTACCCAACTTCCATAACTGCTCCCTTGAGTTGGGTTAGGGCCTTCTCGATGCACTCATTGTTGATCTGTGGAGGAGGCTCGATCTGGCATCCTCCTTTCTTCTTCAAGCCAGAAGTCGATGTTGCTTCCTCACACCTAGTCTCGTGTCTAGCCTCTAATATAGCAACAAGTGCACCTCTCTCATCTACAGCCTCTATGCTAACTAAAAGTGCACGAACATGTACTAAATTTTGCTCTATCAATATATCGATGTACTCTTCTTCCCAATACCAAAACTTGCATCCATGCTACACAATAAAATTTGTAGTTAGCACAACTAGTCAAAACAAGAGCACAAACCGAAGCTAAAAAGAGCACATACCCCATCGTTTAAGCCCTTGATGAACACCCATCCGGGATGTTCCGGTGTTGTAGACACGTGGCGCACGACCATCCTTGGGCAGTGGTCGCACTTAATGAGTGGCAACGGTGCGCCAGCGAGGTTTCGGGCAAGCACCGAGCCTGACCGGCCGCCATTCGTGTATCTGCCGGCGGACCACCGACGGTGCAGATTCGAGCGGCTAGAGGAGGAGCCACTGCCTGCATGTGGCCTTGCGGCCCTGTCAGGGCCTTCCGGCGAGGTGCCCGGCCAGTCCATGGCGCGGCCCGGCCTCCCACAGCCCTTGACGATGCTCGTTTCACCGCGTCCCATACCACCTCCGGGCAGAAGGGCATGTCGAGGTCGGAGAGGTCGCTCCCTGCGATGAGCTGCGACAGGTCCATCGTGTGGTCACGCTCGGTCGCCGTGCCAAGCAGCGCGTCGTAATGCTTGAAGGCAGCCTCGGCCATCTCGCCGTGATCGGTGAGGAGAATGCCGTTTGCGGAGAGGCGGAAGATGCGATTCTTCTGTCTTCGGAACGAGCATTGCCTGTGGAAGAAGGCAGTGTTGGCGTCGCCGTCTTTGAGGGTGGCAATGCGGGCGTGCTGTCTAGCGATCGTCCGTTCCAGGAAGGAGAGCCCGAGGTATGAGACTTTCAGCTGTTTGCGCAGCCAGTCCTCCGGTGGGGTGAGGATGCGGTCGTCCTGGGCTTTGTCAAAGCGCGTGATGAGCTCTCGAGAGATGGCCAACTTGGTCTTCACATTGCCCACAACCTTGGCGCTCCAACTCGTCAAGGAGCGCGCCGTGGCCTGGAACCGCAGCATTAGACGTCGGAATGGGTCGGGGTCGTGGACGGAGCCCCAAGCCGCAGCCACCGTGTCGTGGAATCCGTCGAGGCGCAACCAGTGTTCCTTGAAGTGGAACCTGCGATGTAGCGTAGGTGCGGGGGCGCAGTCCAGCAGCAAGGGCGTGTGGTCTGACACGACGGATGCCAAGCAAGTCAAGTGGCATTCGCCATGTCCATCTTCCCAGTCCGACATGCACAACACACGATCGAGGTGCACTAGGGTCGGTGGTGACTGCTCGTTCGACCATGTGTACCGACGCCCATTGAGGTATACCTCATTAAGCGCGAGATCATTGACCAAGCGACGGAATTTTCCCATCATGCGCCGGTTGAGGTTGCCCGTGTTCTTGTCCTCAGAGCGTAGGATGAGGTTGAAGTCGCCGCATAGCATCCATGGCCCGTGACAGTCCGCCCTGATCTCGCGTAGCTCTTCCAAGAATGCGATCTTGGCAGCGTCATCTTGTGGCCCGTAAACGACCGTGATCCACCAAGGCGTTCCTTCGATGGTAGCGACGCGGGCCGAGATGGCGTTGCTGGTAAACAGGGGGTCCGAGATGGACACGACCTTGGTATTCCACGCAAGCAGAATGCCGCCGCGCGTGCCCTGTGCCGGGAGGTACGTGTAATCATCAAACTCCGAGCCAAGCGTGTCGAGAACGACGGACGAGCAGAGCAACTCAATCTTCGTTTCTTGCAAGCATACAATGGAGGCGCCGGTCGTGTCGAGCAGCGTGCGGACGGCGTGGCACCGCGCACGGGCGTTGAGACCGTGGACGTTCCATACAGCTATCTTGAGGCCGTGATCCATAGAGGGTGAATCGACGGTGGGTATCCTCCAGGGAGGCCTAACTCACGCACACCGGGTCGACGTGCGCCGCCGCTATCAGCCGCTCCGCCAAGCTAGCTGGGATCTCGCGATCGACCAGCGCGGCGATGGCCGACAACACGGACATCGGAATGGGTGCCACGAATAGGTTGTCGTATGCCTTCATCTCAGCGACCAAGATCATCTGGTTGGTCCCCATGATTCCCAGCATGCGGAGGACCTGCACTTGTGCGCGCCTGGCAGCTGTGGGAGGAGCAGCGGTTGTGGTAGTGGCAGAGGCAGAACGGCCACGGCGTGGAGCGAAGTCGAGTGGGCGACGGGGCTTCTTCCCAGGCGCCGGCAAGGCCGCGTTGAGCTCTTTGGTGGCAGCGGCGAGAAAATCTCCCAGCGTCCAGGAGCGAGCAGCGGGCGGCCCACGTGAACGTCGCATGATAATGGGCGGGGAGGCGAAACGGCCGCCCCCAGACCCATGCATGCACGGACGTGCCGGCTCGGGGTTGGCCGGGGCAGTCATGGCGGGCCCGGGGGTGACTGGGGCCGCTGGGGTCTGCATGGGCGTCTGTGGGTCTTGCCGCACAGGAGTGTGCGGTTCAGCGTGGGCGGGAGATGTGGCGTGAAGCTCGAGTCCCGCGCTATCCAATCCCTCACGCTCGGGCGTAGTTGGTGGATATGCGACCTGGTCAGCGCGTGGGATTGGCGCCCCCACAGGCTCAGACGTGGGGGATACGCTGCTTTGGCCCAACAAGGTGGGTGTGAGCGCTGGCGGAGCCAGCTGCGAGTCAGGCACTTCGCACAGCACGGCCAGATCCCGACAAGCTGAGGGGGCAGGAGTGGCCGTAGGTGGCCCCGCGGGATCGTCCTCGGGTTGGGAGGCCACCGGATCTAAGGGGGCAGGAGCGACGGATGGTGGCCCAACAGGATCGTCCTCGGGCAGGGAGACCACAGGATTCGAAATGCCATGTGGGAATGAAGCGGCTGCATCCAGTGGCAGGTTGCCAGCTGTCCCTGGTGAGTCTGGCCGCGCAATGACAATGGCACCGTCAGCACTGCGGCCCTGGCCCACGGGCAAAGTGCACCCCGCTTTCCTTTTACCCTTTCCTTTTCTGGCGTGATGACGACGACGTGGGGCTCCTTGTTGGCCAGGCCACGACAACATGTCCCTCCGAGCCTGGCTGGCCATACGCGCCGCCGCGCTGGACGGGGCCGGCCAGCTCGCCGCCATGGCCACGCCGTCCGCGCGGGAGGTGAGGTCTCCGATGCGCCATCCAAGGCAGTCCATAGCCATACCGTCAGCGCGGCCGGCGGGCCTTGTCTCCGAGCGCCGGCGCTTGCGGCCGCGTCGGCGGGCGCGGCCTTGGCCGTGGCCTGGCCCATCGTCGTTGCCGTTGCCGGCGCCCTGATCCGGGTCGGGGTCTGGTCCTTCCAATGCGCGGTGAGGCGTGGCTCTGATCATCTCGGCGCGGACGATGTCGATGGAGATCGGGTATGTGAGAATTCTGACGGACGGAGCTTCGGAACTAGAGCACGCTGGAATTTGCTCGACGACCTCCAGGACGGCGGCGCGCCGGATGCCTGCCGGATCGTGCGTGCGACCGGACAGGCGGAATGTGGCGAGGTCGTCGCGGGAGCGGGTGTGGGGGTGAAGACGCTCGATCCAGTAGCTCCTCCGGAGAATGTGCTCAGCGGTAGAGAGGTGCCAGGCTTGGGCGGGGATGCCGCGGAGTTCGAGCTCGACGCGGTACTCAAACCCGCCGAAGCCTGCGTGGGCAAGCTTGCTCCATGGACGCATCGAGAGGGAGAAACGGGGCGAGCGAATGAAGTGCTTGCCGGCGAGTCGATCCATGGCGGCCTGAGAGCCGAAGAGGATCAGGAAATCTTCCGGGTGGTGCGCATGCACGGCGAAGTCCC